AGACTTATCAACTGCGACCATGGGGGACGTAAGCCACTCCTTCACTAAATTTGGCGACACCCTCGTCGCCATGTACCGTCGAAGTTTAGACCTTATTTACCATAAGTCTATCTCATTTTCCCACTTTGTGCCATGACATTCCCGTGTTATGCCAAGCCTCAAGTCTTGACCTAGCGGTCCGTGACGTTTTCCCCCACTCATTTTGCTAACGTCCTCATAGTGGAACATGTTCCGTGCATCCTCATGCAACCTTGCATTGTCCTCCATGTCAATGGGCATCAAAGTTCTCCCAACTTGCGGCACCATCTCCTCGATGAACGGGTTTCAATAGTGCCCCTCGCATCTCTTCCCATTGCAATCTCTTGCATGCCACCTTTGACACTAACCTTCACCCTTAGCACCTCTGCATTGGTTCCTCATATGGACAACTCCTTCGGTTGTAGTGTCCCCACACATGTCAAAGCTTTGAACCTTTGTGCACCCAATTTCTGACTTTTTTTACAATGGTTCCTCAATTTCCTTCTTTTTCGGTAGTTCCCTCGGTAACTCCGCGGGCATCATGTCCTTATCATCTTCAAGGACTTCCGCTAACTGTATCACTGACAGTTGTGTTTCTATTCCCACAGAAATTGTTTCGGCACTCATAGCATTAAATAGCTGGAATGAATTCATCCAAACTTCATCCTCATCTTGGCTAGCCATGGCCTCCGATTTGCTCTCCTAAATGGAAATGGATGCCAGTGATCCCAACCTAGGACAATCCCTCAATAGATGTGGTCCTTTGCAAATAAAGCAACCTTGAGGTGTAAAATTACTCATCTTCTCATCATACTCCTCTCTCCAAAAAGCTTGTGTTGCCACCAGGTCCATAATCACCTTTAGAATTTTGCCTCCAATCCAGCTTACTCCATTGCATGGCTTTCCTTGTATCTTCCTTACCTCCAAAATTCCCTTTGGCGGGTTTGATAGTTTTAGCTTCGGTCTGAAGACTTTCTTCAAACTCCGTTAAGGATTCAGCTACTGCAATTACCTCGTCTACGGTTTTGTCACCACGACGTTGCAACTCTTGTCGTACCCATGTTGCACAACTGTCTAGAAAATAGAATAGCAAATCATCATCCGGCATGCTTGGGATTTGAAGTATAATGGTTGTGAACTCTTTGACATAGTCACGAATTGTTTCCGTATGTTTCAATTCCCTCAATTTCTTGCGGGCCTCATAGACGACGTTTTTCAGCTAGAATTGCCTCTTTATCTCCCTTTTGAACTAACCCCAAGTATCAACCTTGCAAGCTCTTCTTGCAATTTCACCATGCTTACGACGCCATCACAACGCCGCAATATCCGTGAGATACATTGATGCAGTCTGCACCTTCATTGCCTCCTTGACAATATTTACGCATCAAAGTATACTTCCATTTGCCATAGGAAGTTCTCCACGTCCGCGGCATCTCTACGGCCATCATATTCCTTCGGCTTCAAGTAATCAATTTTCGGGGCAACAACACATGTAGCGGCACCTCCGCTAGTTCTAGGAGTTGATTGCTTGATTTGCCTGAACTCCTGGCTCATTTTCTCCAACATCATAGCCAACATGTTCACTTGCCCTTGTATTGCACTAACGGCATCTGTGACTTCGGCTTGCAGAAGGGTGAAATTTTCACCCACAGCGGCTTGTCCGACTCCCATAGTCTGAACATCATGCTTCACCGCCTGGACATCGTCCCCCGACGATGCCTAATCATCCATAACCTCTTAGACATTACCTTGGGAGAGTTTCTAACTTTCCAATGGCATGATCCTCTAGTTCCTCCATGGAGTGTTCTAAGGATTCGACCCTATCACACATAGTAATAATGATCGGGTCAAGTTTTTCCTCCATCATTGAAGCTTCCCGTGCTTTGCTCTTACCACGCGTCCTCATTCTTTCTACTGGGTAACACCATGTCCCCTTTTTACTTCAATTTTGGCAACATCATGAGATTCCGCTATTTGAGCACCTCACCCAAATCTAGCTTCCAAGAACCTCTCGTGAATCTGGCTACCACATCCGCACTTGGTTACCACAACCAAACCTTCGCCTTGATACAGCCACCGTAGTCCATACCACGTGAACCTTTCACGGACGTCACCTCACCTCTGAGATGAAAAATTGGTTCAACCCCACATGAACCTTGCTCTGATACCACTTGTCACGAGCCTAGTTTTGTTACACCTGAACTACGCTAGAACCGTGAGGCCTTAACGCTCGACAATGCTCGTCCACACGAGATAGCTTTTAGTCAGCTTACACCGTCAAAATAATTTAATCAATGAGGCTAAATTATATGTTAACTTAGGTAGAGAAGGTAGATAGGAAAATTATGAGGAAAAGAGCACACATATTTGGGGAAAATTCTTTATATAAATATAAGAGAAAACTATTTACAAACACGCTACAATTTTCTCTACAAAGATATTACTCTACCTCACTTTAATTCCCTTTCTATTTATGGGAATTGTCTCTAATATTCTCTCTTTCCCCTTGATTCAATTCATTTTATTTACAAATGATCAAGTCCCTCTATTTATAGGCAAACTCAACGTATGCAAGTTGGCATCAATGGTTAGGATTAATCTTGATCCAAGGGCTCTCATTGGTTGCAAGTGACCTTAAACCTCCTTTGACCATAAAGTTGCCGAGTTGGAATTGACTATCTTGCAAGTTGCCTTGGTGCATTGTATCTTGCCTCTTTCCAACTCTATAATAGTTGGCATGTCACATTCCATGCAAGTGGATCTCTACAACTCATGTGTACAAGTGGACATATCTCGATCAAGGTGGTCAAGTTGGACTTTGCTTCCTCAAGCAAGTCGTCAAGTTGCATGTTGGCCTTATTTTGCAGGTTGTGCAATTGGCTCGAGTTGGCATACACTTGCATCCAAAACTACCGGTTGTAATCTACGGTATTGCTTCCCTCTCATGATAGTGGTTTTCACCCGAGAAAACCAGATTTTCGTCCTTGTGTCCTCAACGGACGTCTGCCTGCGGCTGCCTACAAAGTGTGCCTATGTTGCTGTTGCGTCCCTTGCTGCAATCTGCTTGAGTTTTGTCTATCTGCGTCCCCCTGCCGCAGTTCCTGTCTTGGTCCTGCTTGCGTCCCTTGCTGCAGGTTCCAGTGTTGTTCTGCCGTGTCCCCAGCCACAGGTTCAGTCTACGTTCCCTAACGCAGGACTTATGTTTTTCCTACCTGCGTCCCCTACCGCAGGTACTTCCATCCAGCCGTAACGCACTACCTTCGTTACCCGCATTCTCCAGTCGCAATCTAGACGTATCAGCCGCGACCAGGGGGGACGTAAGTCACTCCCCCACTAAATTTGGCGACGCCCTCATCGCCATGTACCATCGAAACTTAGACTTTATTTGCTATAAGTCTATCTCATTTTCCCACTTTGTGTCATGACATTCCCCGTGTCATGCCAAGCCTCAAGTCATGACCTTGCGGCCCGTGACAATCTGCTCTCTTAATCCTTCATGACTTTCTATCGCGTTCATCAGAATTCGACTTTAGAATTTTTGTCTTATGAGAGACTTAAGTTGAATTCTAGTACTAATTGGGCAATTGCAAAAGTCTCTATTTTCGGCCCTTCCCATTAGTTAGCTCGCACTTTCATTGCTTGCCAGAGTTTTTTAGAGTAAATGTGCGCGCTTCACTTGTCCAATTAATATCAAGATTCAACTTAAATCTCTCATAAGGTAGAGGCCTTGAGTTCAATTTTTTCGAGACGCAATAGAAATTCGTGAGGGATTAAGATGGTAGATGCTATTTTAAACGGACGTTACGCATAATATAACGTCTTGGGCACGAGGTTTGGGTCATTACAGAGACTGATGGTCAGAACAGAGAATGAACTCCATGGACAATAAGTAATATTGTCAAAGATGAAGAGATTGGACAATGGCATAGAACTTTTTGTCATAAGTAGAATACTTTTGTTGAGCTTCATTTAACTTCTCTCTAAATTTAGCAACAAATGACCATATTGACTTAAAACTCTACATATACATACATCGGAAGATTACAGGCAACCTCAAAACTTTAGAACAATCGGGGATCAATTTTTGCTTAATAGCGAAGAAGGCTTTCTTGGCTTAGTCCAACGAAAATCACCCTTTTCTATATACTCGGTGATAGAGGTATGCGGTGATAGAACTAAAGCTTTGAATGAATCTCCTATAGAGTCTAAACTTGAAAAAATAAGCAAAACTAGGGTTTCCTCTATAAGAAAACAAACTAAGAAATAAGGAAACTAGGATTTTCTCTATCAGGAAACAAAATAGGTTGTCTTAAAATTTCGTTAATAGAAAATATGGAAAATAACAAAAATCCTAATTGACTTAATCTCTCATGCGCCTAGAATAGACTTTTCATGTTGTCCCAGTAGAGGTGTTAGAACATGCAGGTGGCCTGGCATGAAAAAAGCCTGGCCCACCCACCCACTAGGCCCGCTGAAGGCCATGGGCCTTGTCTGTGCCACTTCAAAACCATAACATGCTGGCCCATTTGTCACCTCTAGCGTAATGTGATCTGAGATACGGTTGTGTTAGTCGAGTGCATCCACTAATTGTGGCTTGAGCTGACCATAAAAGAGGAAGGCAAAACCAGGCAGTATATAACTTGGTGCAATTGGTGCATGCCTTTCATTTCTGTTCTTTTAAAGACCCATTGTTCCATGGGGTGGGATTACGTGACTACACCAACGCGTGAGCTCTCTATATGTTATATGATCCATTAATTTTTTCTGCACTGTCTGCTATAGTCGTGCATTCTTTCGTTTTTCTTTTCTCATTTGGGAACCGCTAGCATGCCTTGTCGGCAAATGTATGATCCTAGAATGATTTTGAGATTTACGAACAATCTATTCTCTGCTTCTGAATCTGTAGAAGGCCTTCAACAAATATCAAAATATTGGTAATTAATGTATCTAGACAACAATATATAAACTTCTGATTGTTACAGAGGAGTCAACTGGAGTACTAAAGAAGGCCGAAAGTGAGTACAAGGGCCACCGCTCGTTACTGATGCGGACCCGAGACCTTCTCTCCACAATGCAACGTCAAGATGTTCTTGACAGGTATTAGGCATTAATTATTTTTAAAATTAAATAATCTATGATTTCTTCTAAGGGTGATTTATTTATTTTTTAAATTTTTGGGCAGGTTGATAATTATTGTTGGATTTCTTATTTTCTCGTTGGCGGTACTTTATGTTGTTTCAAAGCGCATTGGGATCCTCAAGTTGCAGAGTAAGATTATGGCTGCTGTGAAGGCTGGAATGGCTAGACAAGAAGGGATCGTCGTACCTATAGCTGGCCAAGATGGTATTCATGCTCCGGTTCACGAGAATGTAGTTCCTCATATGCATGTACCATTAGGACAACCTATGCATGATGAACTTTGAATCGCCAGTTTCATTTACCATTAAGCGTCTGAAACAATCAATATGAAGGTGTTCGTAGAGTTGGGGTTTTATTTTGCACTTTGGGGCTGCGTTGTTACAACATAGATAATAGCGAATTGGATCAAATTTTACTCATTGTAAATTGTTGAATCGCCTTATCTAAAATTTTAAACAGACAGAGGGTATTAATTTATTGCTTCTAAATTTTGTCTTGCTCACATGCGTACTAGATTTTCTTCATTCAAAGGCCTAATGCAAAATTAAGCCTCCGTTTGTTTCCCATTTTTTTTTCATTAAAATGAAAAATATGATCATTATTCATCACATCAAACTATCAAATTTGAATTTTTATCTTTTGTGAGGAGTTCATAACGACTACATTTTTCATTTTCATTTTTACAAAAGTGAGAAACAAACGCTCCCTAAATTTTGTAAATAGATAGAGACGAGATTTGAATCCAAAATCTTTGTATGGTATAAAACTATATTGAATGATTTCATTTGGTAGTCTTAAGAAAATGGAGAGGAGATTAATTTATTTATTTCAAATTTGTCTTCAATGTAATATAACTTGGAATTTCTATGGATAGCCAGGAAAATCCTCTAGATTCCCAGGCATGGTTTTGATGGATTATCAATGCACAAAAACAGGACATAACTGGCCGGTTTGACCAACGGAACTGGTGTGGTTATATGTAAAAATCCACAAAATAAGAACACAAGTAAAAAATTAGTCGACTCGTCTCAAATTATTTATTGACTATTTTATATGAGTGGTTAGACTTCAATTTGATTTTTTGATCCTCTACCTTCACATTTTCTAGGTCGATATTAGTGCCAGTTTTTAAAACATTTGATCCTCTACCTTCACATTTTCCTTTCAATACTGCTACTACATTAACAATTAATTCCTCTATTTATATTGTTATTCCATTTATTGTACTTTTTTCATTATTTTATTTATATAATTCCAGCAGTTTTTATAATTTCCTTATTGTATTTTTTCTAACAAAAAAAGAACTGCAAAGAGGGTAAGAAATGAGCGATTTACAAATGGAACAGGTTGATATGATCCATGTGGTGGTGCCTACGCTAAGAGCCAGAAGTTTCTGTGTGTTTTAGTGTTAAGAAGATATCCGGCATTTTGACCCTTCTTCTGCACTGCAACACAGGTGCATTTGCTGTTCTCAATCAAATATTCTGCTGTATCCAGCCCTCTTAGTGATCCTCTTTTATGCCTGCTCAATAACACAAATCCGACAACATTTACGAGATTTTATATTGGAAGGAAAAAATAAATAAATAATAATTTGAAAAATGAAGTAAAAATAATTGCTTTTAGACAAAAATAATTGCTTTTCCCTGTTTTCGTGGGCCAGGCTGGTCAATATTAGGAGTAACATATAGAGGATAAGGTCTTTGGAGGGATCACAATAAAAATTGGAAAGAATAATGGATAACAATTGTTATGGATAATCCGAAAGACAGAGAAAGAATAATGCCTAGCAGAATAAAATGATAAGAGAATCCTAAAATATGTATGTGTTAAAAACGTTTGTTGCAAGAAAATGTGTTCCTCCATAAGCTTGATGATTTTCTTAAGAACTCTTCATGCTTTTATTTAGTTATTGTCAAAAGTTCAAAGCGCATTATAATGTCATTTCTGCACTAAAAAATGAACACTCTCACTCTCTTTAGATATCGGATATTTTGCAAGCGTTGAAAATTCATTTCATAAAACATCGCGATAGTTTTATTCTTATGCATGCAAATTGAAGATGATGGTTAGCGACACATGAGTATGATGACAGATCTATTTCATAAGGGGCTTTTCGACCTAAGGCCGAAACAAATAGTGCTTAGGGTGGTTTCCGGGCTAATTATAGGTGATATATGGCTTGATTGTTCTTCTCGTATCACCTGTTAAAGGATATAATTCCACATCGAATAAAGATGTAAATATAGACCAATTTATAAAGGTTTGGGCTACTCCTCTTAATATGATTGATCTTTTAAGATGGAATCCACAAGTCTTAACATAGTATCAGAAATCATTAAACTCCAACGAGTGATTCGATCCAATTAAGATTCAATAAATGAGCATATGGATTTCAAGATTGGTTTACTCAAAAAAAGATTCACCATCTTGAAGGGGCATGTTAAAGAATATAATCTTACATCGAATAAAGATGAAAACATAGACCAATTTATAAGCGTTTGGACTACTCCTTCTAAAAAGGTTGACATTTTAAGATGGAATCTCAAATCTTAACATTACCTACAGGTTTTGGAAAAAATATTTGCATCTTCTTCATACATCAATAGTAAAATATGAAATTCAGAACTCACCCTAATATTGCATTAGATAGACTCCTCCGCTGCCCAATAACAAGAAGATCAATTTTTTGGGCTATGGTTTGGGCAAGAATAAGGGAAGCCTTGTCTTTCCCATCCACCATGTCTGTCTTCTCTACAAGAATCTTTAACTTTGGATGAGCAATTTCACAAGCATGCTTCATTGCCTCAAGAAAGTTGATAACTCCTCCGCTACCTTCCATGGACGACGAGGAGGTGACAGTGCTAGCCGAGCCAGCCGATTGCACCGAGGGTTTTCTGAAAAATGAACCAAAGGGATTTTTCCATTCATTGTTGTGTTCAACATGGAATAGAATTAGGGTGTCTTTTTCTATCACTGCATGTGAGAGGACGTATTGAAGAGCAGCTGCTGATTCCCGTGTTGGGTCCACAACCACCATCACCTTACGTGCTGGCGCATCCCGACCGTCCATTGCCATCGATAACCACCATCAACGGCAGCCTGCCACCAACTCTACCCTGCAACCACCTGCAGTTGCAGCACCTTCTTCCTCTTGATGGAATTAGGTCATCGAAATGGATGTATGGATGGATGGATGAAACAATAAAATGTAAGGCTCTCATTTTGTGAAGCTTTTAGTTTCGGTATGTAAAAAATCAGCCTTCAATTACTGTTAGCCTAAATTTGTGATTCACATATTCATCGCTTTGCTAAGTTTAGGGATATGAGTGTTTTAAGAAAGCCATTGAATTTAGGGATTAGATTAAGGCCAACCACTCAAACTGCCAATATATAATAATAATAATAATAATAATAATAATAATAATAATAATAATAATAATAATAATAATAATAATAATAATAATAATAAGAGTAATTAACGATGTTTAACACCATTGGTGTTTAACATTGATTGAGGTGTCATCACTTGTATCATTAATTAAGTTATAGGATCAAATAAATACTAAAATTTATAACCATTTATTCCGATGTATCACGTACTTACACACCGAGACTTCAACACCACTGGTAGGTGTTTAACATCGATTGAGGTGTCATCACTTGTATCATTAATTAAGTTATAGGATCAAATAAATACTAAAATTTATAACTATTTATTACGATGTATCACGTACTTACACACCGAGACTTCAACACCACTCGTGCTGCATAGCATTACCCTTTGCACTTCTATTTTCAATTTTTGTAGCTGATTTTAATTGAACTAATTAACTAGTAGCATAAATATGCTGCATTTGGCTTTATTAATCATATCAAATCGTTTTTTAAATAAAAATTTTGTGAATTCATACCGAATTGATACCTAAACACCTACTAATTTTAACACTAGATTGCACGGATACGAAATTGACATACGTTCCAAAGACGATATGTACATTGGAACATTAGGTTTAAAAAAGTTTAAGAAGAAATGCTTTAGAAACATTGCATAAAAATATAGTTTGTTTTATAAATTAATATTTAATCTTAAAAACCACATTTAACATTAATTCGAACGCACTTGTTAATATTTTGTAATATATGGGCTAAAGCCTAAAATTCACTTAACTTTAATTAAGTTCTTAATTAGAGTAATTTTCAGTTCCAATCTGCAAGAAAGCTTACAACAGAAGGAAACAATTTATCAAAGTTGCCAAATATTTTTCCAAAGATTTTCTCATACTACATTTAACGTTTAAAAATTTTGCCCCTGTTTGGCCCCCATTAAATCTCATCAAATTAAATTAAATTTTTTCTCTCAGTTATTTTCAACCACACAATTTTCAATAAAATAATATTACACGTAATTTGAAAATTTTTCATTATTTTACAACCATTCATTTTTCAAAAAAACACTATTCTCCCGTTATAATAAAAAAAAAATGGGGGCTAAACGGGGGCATATTAAAACGATAAAATGAGGTACTTTTGACTTTCGAAAACATGTGCTTTTTTTTTCTTTTTTCTTTTTTTTTTTTTTGGAAGCACAAAATTAGTGAAAACTTGATACACATCTGTCCAAAAGTAACCCTTTTTTAATTAGTTCTAGCTGATGAAAAAACTATTTCTTACATAATTCAAGAAGAAACCAACATTTTTTCTTTGTTTCTATCTTTCCCTCTCTTCTTTATATCGTCCATTAATAGAAGGGTCATTTTGTTGCATAAAAAATGGTCATAACTGGAGAATAACAACATTTGATGACAAGATTCTCGTATAATAAATTGCATCGTTTTGGTGCAACAATAACACAAAAATGTAGTTATCACAATTTCATTTTAAGCTTTTTATATGTTAAAGAATGAAAGAACTAAGTTATTTCATCAATTTCAGAACATCCTGTAAATGACAACAGCATATGCTATCACAGAATTGTGCATAAAGTAGTAGAGATACTCCCAATACTGAGGGCTACTTCAAGTGCTTTGAATGCCGCCTTCCGTTTATTCTAAAAACAAAATCATAAAAAACTGTAAACTGATATAGAATATATTTAAACAAAATTGAAAAATAAAAATACTTTGAAAGACTTTCGATCTACATGGCATTAATGTCTAATAAATACGTCTAGTTCAAATTTCATCTTCTATGTGTTCGGCCTATTATTTAAATTTTATAAATAATGTGTGTTTAATAGGAGGGAAAAAGGAAACACGAGAGGGAAAAAAAAAAAAAGAAAGAAAGATGAAAGGAAAGATATATTAAATCTTTGGTGACTTATTTAGCTTAGAGTAATCTCGACATCTAGACACATTGTTCTTGACAATATCTATTTTTTCTTGCTACATTGCTAGACATAGTCCTAGCATGTTGTATTGAAGACATTGTCCATTTTAACTCACATATCAACATTTTAAGTGCAATTCACATTAATATTGTGCATTCTCTTAGTCACTTTGTTTTCCATTTATCACAAAAGTCATTGAGGAGAGAGAGGTAGAAATCGAAATTCTGCATTATCTTAATCAAGAGTCCTTGTATCGTGTAGGAAAAATGTCTGAAAGAATATATAAGAAGGAACACTAGACAACCTCGATCATAAAAATGATATTATTGTAAGAGAGAGTGCATGATTGACATGTAAACACCTACCATGCTTACACCCAAAATGCCTATGTATCTCTCTTGTTTTGCCGAAGTTTTAATGTATTTTTTCATGCTTTGTCTCTTGTTTGGGATCGTTTGATCATTGTAAAGTCATACTTTCTGTGCCTGGAATAGTTGTACTCAATATTTTGATCAATATAATTTATTTATCCCGATAAAAAAAATGCCTATATATTTGATTTTCAAAGTGATAATGTCTGCGACTTATTCAAATTACAATCTATCATACCTCCTGATCTCTTGGAGAAAGTTAAAGAAGTCCCAAACTGATAAAGAAGATGAGTTGTACCGGACCTTACATTCCTCCGGTAAATTCTCCACGGCTCCACCCGTTCTTGCCTAAATTTGTTCAATACCTAGGCTAGCAAGCAACATTCTTTTCGAAATATTTGGAACGAAATCATTACCCTAAGGTATCTTTCTTCACCTGGAAGTTGTAGAATGGAAGGGTACCTACCAATGAGTCAACGACATTTTTAAGAACAAACGAGGGAGTTCATTTTTATCCAAATATCACCGTTTCAATCAAGAGGAATCACTGGAACATGCATATCTAAATGTCAAAGTGGAAAGAGAGTCTCGGATCATTTCCATATACTTTTTAACTTCAAATTTCAGAAGTTTAGTCTCGGATTCTAGAGCTTGTATGCTAAGTCCCCTGAACCAGATAATTGCTTTAACCTTCTTCCAGTCTTCATATTTTGGGTCCTTTGGACGGAAAGAAATGCTTCTAAGCATGAAGGGTAGGAAATGAATGTCAAGAGGGCTGTGATAGAGTTGAGTACATGGCTGGGATACTTGTAAAGGCTGGTTTATGAAATGCGGCAAATATGATTACGAAAAAGACTCCATTGGCTCTGTATTGGAGAAAATCACGCGGTCAAGTGGTTCAAGCTTGCTGGAGAAGAGAGATATTTGTCAACATTGGAGAATATATTGTCTGTGATTTGGAGGATATTTGCTAATATTGAAAAATATATTGTGCGTAATTTGGTTGACCACAATTAGAATATTTTCATGAGTTATTTATCTCCTTGCCTTGATTGCCTCATCCTTATGTGTTTTATTGTAAACTCCAAAAATAAGTGAATACAAATTCCTCTCCTCCTGAGGACGTAGGTTTGCAACAATGGCACCAAACCACGTTTCCGTACTTTTCTTTATTAGTTTTATTCGTTATTAGTTTCCGTACTTTTCTTTATTAGTTTTATTCGTTATTGAATTCTTCAAGGCTGAATACTGACGGGGCTTTGTTAAGCGATAAGCTGGCTGGAGGTGGGGGTGTTTTGAGGGATTCGAAAAGTGACTTGAGTTGGGCATTCCATCAGTTCTTAGGGAAATCTTCAATCCTTGTTGCTAAGTTAAAAGCTCTTGTCATCAGCTAAAGTTGTCTGGTCCACTGCGTTATTTGAAGTTATGAGCTGAATTGGATTCAATGCAGTTTGTTTTACTGACACGAACTAAATATACAGGCATCTGGGAAACGCAATACTTGCTAGCAGATTTTCAACAGTTAAGTAAGAAATTGGATGTCAAAGTATCCCACATTTATCGAGAAGGTGAATAAAGTGGCTGATTGGTAGGTCAACATGGGATAAAAAATAGCCTATGAGTTCTTCAATCCGAACGAGATTAAGGGGTTAATTTGCGGGCTGATTAAATTGGACAAGTTGGGAGTGCCCTCTCTCAGAAATGGTTAGCTGTACGAAATGATGTTTAGATAGTGTAGTAAACAGTATTAGTTGTTTGTTCCAGTGATTCTTAGTGTTAGGTTCTATGTAAATAGCAATTCTGTGAACAAAAAATGACTAACTTGAACATGTGTAAAAGTCAAGGAGTTAGGTGCAATTTTGTATAGATGAGTTAGGTAAGTCAGGGTTCGAGTCCAGAATAAGGAAAGAGGAGACGTAGCAATTCCGCTAACTGCTCGTCAAGATATTGCTCAAGCGACAAAAACATAATGAGCGTTGCTCCCCTATCGCCCAAACTTCACTCGAGTTGAAGTTTGTCGCTCACTTCTCGTTGGAGTTTCGCTCGAGCGACAGTGTTATTTGCCAACCCTAATTCGTGATTTTGGAAAGTTTTACACGGTCTATAATACCTAAACATCTCTAACTACAAGTACTCAAGCCTTACACGATTTTCTTATGTGGTTGTTCATTGTGCCTCATACTCATATTATATTCATATCAGTCCTTTGATGATCCAAGAGCTTGTTCAAACCTTGATTCATTCCATCAATTCTTGAGATCCTGCAACCACATATTTGGGAAAACATCAAATTCTTGAATCTAAAACATTCAGCTTCCTTTGTGTAATAAGAAAGGAACTTTCTCAATTGGAACTTCAGAAGCTGCTGAAGATTGACGAAGGTTGGACTACAAGCACAGGAATGAGAACAAGGATAGGCAATTCTTGGGTATCCACCTGAAAGAAACAATTGCACGAGATCGGGAAGTTAGAGGAGGCAGCAGTATA